TGTATTTCTGATGGAAAGTGTTAGTGCAGACTCTTGCTACAGAAAAATACATGCCTGGAAATGCAATGCATATTTAGTTTGCATTCCTGGGCCACACACCTTTTGACACTCATGTGTGGACCACTGAGTCCCCAGGTCAGAGTCTGTTCTTTGGAGATGGCAAAGAAGGCTATGGGTAAGGGTTTTTTTTTTTTTTTTTTTTTTTCTAATTTCTGGTGAAAGGGAAACTTTCTGTTTAATCTTTCTTTTAGCTGTCAAAGCCACAGGGAACCCCTTCAAAACTTTTTGGGAAATGGAGACTCTTACAGGCTCAGGGATTTTGCCACAGAATCTCCTTGGACTTAGATCCACAGCTGCAGGTGAACCTCTTGGACCCCTCATCATCCACTCAGCACCCTGTAGGATGTCATGTCCATGGCTTGCTTATGGAATCAATGATTTATCTAACCATTTACAGGAAAACACTCTTCAAGCAGAGGACTATCATACTCTTTTCTCTCTTGGCATGCTTATAATTTGCATTTCTTTTGCTGTTGAACTTCCCTAATTTCATTATACTTAATACCCACATTTGTTTGGGGACATAGCTCACTGGAAGAGGGGTGAATGGTGCCAGCCAGTATTGTTGGAGAAATGAACCCCTTTGAGATTAAGAGGGTGTGAAGCGTTCCAGGGGTCACACGCTCCAAATGTAGCTTTGAAACAAGACAGAACAAATTTATTCTTACTTACACTTGAAACTTAACAATGTGAGCACCAAACTCCAAAGGCAGTTAGCATATGTTACATGTCAAGAAACCTGGCTGGCAGGTTATGAAGCCTACTTGCCTGGCTATGAAGCCTACTTGCTATATGCTATGGATATCTGGGGGAAAAAAAAACCCCAAGATCCCACTAGCAAAGTGCTCATGGATAATTCTAAGGACAGACAGAGCCATGAGAATCATCTTGCTAAATTCTTCACTTTGCAGATGGGGAAGTTGAGGTCTGGATGTACATGTGCTGTACATCCAGAACTCTTTTTCCTGGTTCAGAGTATCAGAGCTCTCTTCCTTTCTTGCGTCCTATCTTCTCAATCCTTAGAGACTGCAGTTCTTTATGGGAAGTGCAGAATTCTTAAAGAGGCATGACCTTTCTGAAGGTAGTTATCAGTTTTCCTTGCCTTGCTGTCTACTAATAAGCCATCGGATGGGAAGTGATTAAAGGCAGTGAAAAAGCAACAGAGTTCTCCCTTGACCCAGCCTCAAAATTCCAGGAGGCAAGTAAGCCTTTATAGCTGAACCAAACTCTGAATGGGTATTAGCGTAATGAGGTGGAAAGCCCCACATCAAATATGCAAATACAGCTCAGCAAGAGGTACTTTCTTTCCCAGTTAGTCCACGCAGCATATGTCATTGCCAACTGCTTAGAGACAATAAGGAGATCCACCCAACTGTCCAGTGACACAGTTCACTGTGTTGGCCACTTCTGTATCTGGAGATGCTGCATATATTACAAAATAGCCCACCTGAAAAACTGCACATTTTGTCATTGTTACCCAAAAAAGAATAAAAACGTAAACAACTTGAAAGTATGGGTGGGTATTGATATCTACTGGATTCTTCTTTTCCTTCTTATTTGTCTCTCTTAATCAGGAGAAACCTGATTTGTCAGTTTCCCATGATGCACCTTTTGTTTTAACTGGTATGTTAAATCACACCTTGTTTCTTTCTTGGTATCTGGATGCTCTCAAGTAGGCTAGAGATATAAACTAGTAAGGATTCATCAATACTGAGATAAGAACTACTAAGGATTCATCAATGCTTCCCAGGTGGTCTGGTGAGGTTTAGCAGAACAGAATCACTCAGGGACAATTCTTAAGCCCAGGTGCCATTGGGCTAACAAATGATTACATGTTTTCTACAGCTTTCATTCACTCATTTTTTGGAGGTGATAAACTGCTCAGGCCTTTGGGAAACCAGGGAAACAGGCCATCTTCCTTTCCATGGGATGATGTGGTATCAGGTTCTAAAGATTCATTTAGTAAGTTTTAATTTATGTGTATGAGTATTTGCCTGAATGTATATATGTGCACCACATGCATGCAGCGCCCGTGGAGGCCAGAAGTGGTCACATGGTTCCATGGGTCACATGGAACTGGCATTACAGATGGTTGTGAAACACCTTGTGGGTATTGGGAACCAAATTGGGTCCTCTATAAGAGCAGGAAGTGCTCTTAACTGCTGAGGCAACTCTCTAGTCCTGGTACCAAGATTTAAATCTAGCATTATAGTCCCAGACACAACCTCTGAACATTGGCATTTGTTCTCTGCAGGGGACTTCTATGAAAACCCAGATGAACTGAAGTCCTTCCCTATAGCTCTCTCATGCCAAGGCCCTGGACAGGAACTGGTAAGTAGAAACCAATATGATGTAACTGAAAATATTGAGCAATGTACTCAGCAGATTTAGAATTTAGTGTTGGGGTCTCTGGCAGTTGGGATTTTTAAGACCCACTTAGGGGAGTTATTACGATTCTTAATGAAAGCTGGCCTTACACTGTTTCAGGGTGCTGAGGTAATTCTCAAAGTCATGCACACTTCATGCTGAGAGGTCACAACCATGAATCTCAGAGATGTGATACAAACCAATCATCAGAGCAGGACTGGTGCTTCTAAACAGACCTGCATATGAGAGCTGGAGTGAGTCAAAGAGAAAAGAAAGGGTAGATGTAAACTACACATTTTCTTTAAAAAGAAATTGTCAAGGAAACGAAACAATCTTCCCAACACAAGAACAGTAAGACCTGGAAAAGTTGAAATGAAGAAACCCTAAAGGTTTCCTTTCAGTCTCTGTTGTAGGAGCTTTTGAAGTGTATGTCTACAAGGACACAGGAAGAATCCAGCTTTCAGCTTCCAAGCTACCAAGGCCATAAGCTGTTGCAGAGTTGGGAAACCTGTGTCCTGATTTACTGGAGACTTTGGATATTGCTTTCATTACTACCCTTGAAAGGAGTTCCCTGGAGTTGCCATTGTGATCTGAAGCCCTGTGCATTCTCTTCACGTCTTGGAGTACTCCTTCCCTTCATCCTCTTGGGTCCTATGTTCTCTCTTGTCTATATCCACCATTTCAAGATTTCACTTCTTCACAGTCTTGGTCAGTGGAAAGTTCTACATCAGATAGTCCCACCTCCATTGCCATAATCAGTGAGATATCCGAATCACTGCTCACAGCTGGCTCTTGTTCACCTGTGAGGAGAAAGCAGAGTTCATGGTCAATATTGAGCTAATCTTTGGATGCTGCTTGCTCAGTATGGTTGCTTCCACTAACATTTTTTTAACAACTATTACAATAATAGAAAACTGATAGAGGTTTGGTGTGGTGGTGTGTACCTAATAATCTCAGTGTTTTGGAGGCAAAGGCAGAAAGACTGCAAGCTTGAAACCTTGTCTCAAAAGAGAAAAGATAAACAAAACAAAAAGCCCCCAGATAAACAACCCTATGATGGTTAATATCCATTGTCAACTTCATAGTATCTAAAATCACTAGGAGACAAACCTCCCGACATCTGCTAGGGAATGTCCAGGTTAGTTTCATTAAGCTGGGAAGGCACACACTAAATGTGGGCAGCACCATTCCCGGTCCTGGGCCAATGACAAGGCAAGCTGAGCACCAGCATTCATTTTTCTTCACTTCCTGACTAAAGACACAATGTGACTAGCTGCCTTAAGGGCTGTAACTTTCCCACTATGATGGACGGCATCTTAAACTGTGAGCCAAAATAAACTCCTCCTTTGTGAGTTGGCTTTGTCAGGTATTTAGTTACAGTAACAAGAAAAGTAACATAAAATATCTCCTAATAGAAGCAATAATTACAATAAAATCCAGTAGAGTTAGAAGAAAATATATCATCTAAGCTGCAGTTAGTTTTAACTGTCAATTTGATACAATCTAGAATCACCCAAAGAGAGTCTTGATGAGGGACTCTCAAGATCAGGTTGGCCTTGTTTGTGAGGGGATTATCTTGATTACATTAACTGTCAACTGAGCTGGGAAGACCTGCCCACTGTGGGTGGCAGCATTCCCCAGGCCCAAGAGCCTAAGCTGCTTAAGAGTAGACAAAGTGAGCTGAGCACAGACACGCACGCTTTCGCTCTCTCTGCTCTTGACAGTGGATGTGAAGATCTGCTGCAAATTCCAGCTGCTGTGACTGCCTGTAACTGGAACTGCAAGCTAAGATAAGCCTTTCCTTACCTCAATTGTCACAGTATGTTATACAACAGGAAACAAAGCTTAGCACAAATTATATTTCTAGATAAGAATATATATCTAATATATCTAAGAGGGCAAGAAAAATAATTGAGCAATTCAAAGAAACAATAATTGTGCCTAAATTTTTAAAAAAATGCTAAAAACATAAAATATCAGACTGGAGAACTGTAAAAATTTCACAAAGAATTGAATTTTTTTTTTTTTTTTTTTTTTTTGGTCTTTTTGAGACAGGGTCTCCCTGCAGCCCCAGCTGGAATTTGCTATTGAGAGCAGGCTGGCCTGCTCACAGATATCTGCCTACCTCTGCCTCCAGGGTGCTGGGATTAAAGGCATGTGACACCATGCCTGGCTAAGAATTACATTCTTTAGTGTGTATGCATACATGTGGTGTGTGTGTGTGTGTGTGCACGCAAGTGGGGGCAAGAAGTTAACACCTCAATTACTTTCCACCTCAGTTTTTGAAATAGGGTCTCTCACTGGTCCTGGTGCTTGCCAATTCAGCAAAAGTGTCTGGCCAGCTAGCTCCAGGGATCTGGTCTCTGCCTTTCCAATCTGGGATTATGGGTTTTTGCTACCACACCTGGCTTTTATGTGGGTTAGGGGGATCTTCATGATTATGCAGCCAGCATTTTATTAACAGAGCCAGATCCCTCATGTCAGAATTGTATTCTTAGCATATCAAAAGATTTTGTCATTAAGAAAAATAACTCAACAGAAGACTGGGAAAAAGTTGCCCTTATGGTTCTTGGCAGGGCATATTACAAATGGCTAATAAATAAAAAATAAAAATGAGATATACGTTTTCACTTATATAATTTTTACTCATACAAAAGATAATGTTACAGTTAAGAGTGTATTGAGACAGATATGTTAAAACATTACAAACACAACTGTAAAATTTTCATTTTTTTAGCTGAGACATACATTTGTACATCCTTTATATGGCACATTGTGGTAGTTCACTGCATGTATAAAGTGTGTAATAATCAATCAGGGTACTAAGTGTTTCTGTATCTTCAAACATTAACTGTTTTATATTCTGGAGATTTTATATTCTTCTGGTCATTTTGAAATATATCATGTATTGTTTGACCAATAGTTACTCTATCTATATTATAAGAAAGCCAGAACAAATGTCTATGCTATAACTGTGTCATGGTGTCCTTACTCAATTCTTTCCACCTCCCTTCCTACCACCCTTCCCCAGGCTCTAGTGACCATTATTCCATTGTATTCTTCCATGAAGTTTGCCTATTAAAATTGTGACATTTTCAGCTAATAACTTCATTACGTTCTGTTAAACAATAATTAGAGATACAAGAAAAGATTCATTTAGGCACTATTTATAGTAACAAAACTTTGTTAAGTAACTTAAAGTCCAACAACAGAGAATATCTGGAAAGTAATGCTATTTCTGAAGGACAATTTCTTATAACCACCAAACTGGTTTCTAAAGAATTTGTAGTTACATGAATAGACATTTAGCAATATTTTCACCAAAACAATATGGTGTTAAATGAAAACAGAAGTACTCAAAGTTTGTATGCTGTGTAGTTCATGTGGGAAAGCTAATATAACTGGAAACAAAGAAACAAAAAAAAATCCTAGCATGAGGAGTCATTTATGCTTTGGAGATTTAAAAAAAAAATTTAAATTTTTTTATTTTTTGAGAAAACACCACACTATGAAGCCCAGGCTGGCCTAGTTTTAGGATTTATATTATTTTTCTTTTTTTAAAAAACTTTTTTTTCAGTTCTGTTTACAAATACTCTGGAATGAATACCTATCTCTCTATATATTACATTCCTTCAAGACGTATTTATTGAGTCTCTACTATAAGCTACAGACTGTGATAGATGCTAGGGATATGAGAACAAGACAATGCCAAGCTTCAAGGAGCTTACTATCCAGTGGGCAGGCAGGGCAGTAGAATCAGACCTCGGTATCAGATGGACTAAGCATTGGCGAAGCCGGAGAGAGGGCTACACAACCATATACGGGGGTCAACAAAGGTGTGTCATATGGAACAGTGTCAAAACTAAGCCCTTTTGTGTATTAGCTATATGATTAAAATGGAATAATCTCTAAGTAATAGAGCATGTGCAAATGGTTGGAAGTGATGGGGACTATTAGGCAGGCAGGTACCAGAAGATATTTAAGTATGACTGGAATGTACAGCCAAACTAAGGAGTAGGCTGGGGGGAGGCTGGAGATCTGCCTAAGGCAGCTTTAATCCAGGTCTTCCACTTTATATCATCCTGCTGAAGAAATATGCAATTAAAAGACCAATAACATTGTCTACGAAATAAAGACTGATGATGATGGTTACAATATTTTTGCTATGGCTATTACTGATATGGTTTCCATGTTGAGGGACAGTTGAGGGAAACATGAGTTTCATGAAAGACTGTGAATTCCTAAGGTACTTTAGAAGAGAGTTATGTCTTGAAGAATGAGCCTTAGAGAAATGGAGGTTTCACCAAGCTCGAACATTTCCTAGACCCACATGTACATGAAGCTCATCATGATGTAGCAGATCAATGAATAGCTTATAAGCCTGAAGCAGCCCTAGGGAAATGCAAATATTTAGTATTTGAAAATGGTGGCATTGAACAAATTCTTCATAGACATATTCATTTAACAAAAAAGTGAATTGGATGTTTGCCTTCCACTTTACAACAAATACCTTGTCAGCTGGCTGCCTGCCTATGTCCTCTTTCATCCTTACTTTTCATGTATGTCCTACCTTTTCATTTCTGCTCTTCTCCAGAGCCATGTGGTATCTCTTTAAATTCTGACCCTAGGCACACTCTCAGGTGCAGAGTGGAATGGGTCTCCCTGCTTCACCCTGTTTATCTCTGCATGTGCTGTGCTCCTGGACAGGGTGAGCCCTAAACTTCTGCAAGCCACTGTGTTTGAGAGCTTTGGCTCCTACAGCAGGGCAGGTCACAACAGGCTCAGCCAGATAAGTGTTTGTTTGCTCTAAGTCTCAGCTCCAAGTCACTGAGAACTTGTCCACTTTTTCTACTGGCTCAAGTTTTGTTATTGTCTCTTCTTCCATTTGCCCTGTCCATGTCAGACTCTCTTCAATAATATCAAAAAAAAAGAAAATCTCATTGAGCATGATAGTACATGTCTTTAATCCCTGCAGATGCAGGCAGATCACTGTGAGATGGAGACCAACCTGGGATCGTCTACACAGGGAGTTCCAGGCCAGCAGGGGCTACATAGTGGCACTGTCTCAAAAAACAAAGCAAGGGGCTGGAAAGATGGCTCAGTGGTTAAGAGCACTGGGACCTCTTGCAGAGGACACAAGCTCAGTTCCCAGCACCCACATGGCAGCTAACAACTGCCTATAACTCCAGTTCCAAGGGATCTGATGCCCTTGTTGATCTCTGCCAGTATTGCACGATGTGGGTGCACTTACATACATGTAGGCAATACACTCATGCACATAAAATAATAAAAATAAATAAAACATTAACAAAAACATTAAAATCCTTTTATTAAGGTGTTTGTGAGCTTTTAGGAGAGATTGTAAATATTTATTTATTTAATCCACTACTTTTACCCAGTGCTCTCTTAAACATTTTTACAATGGCAACAAAACATAGACTAGATATTTAAAATTACATTGATGAGATGAGTGTGTTGGAACCAGTTTGTAATCTCGGCACTTGAGAGGTGGAGGCAGGAGAATCAAGAATTTAAGGTTATCATTGGCTACATAGTAAGTTTGAGGTCAGCCTGGGCTACATGAGAACCTGTCTCAAAATCTGACTGTCTGACTATCTGCCTATCTACCTATCATCTATCTATCTATCATCTATCTATCTATCTATCTATCTATCTATCTATCTATCTATCTATCTATCTATCTATTGATTAATCAACCATATATCTATCTTCTGTGTATCAAGCTACTTATTTATCTATGTATGTATTATCTATCTATTATCTATCTATCTAGCTATCA